TGTGGTCGAGAGTCGCGACCAGGCTGACAAGGAGAAAGTAGAACAGGAGGAACAGGATCGTCTTACCGCTGCAGCGAGGCCCCTGAAGCCCAAAAAGTCGGTTAGCTTTGCGGACACGTCTCCAGAGGAAATCAGCCCACCAGACTCGGATGCCAAAAACAAAGGCGTCGACTGGGGCGACGTGGCGCCCGGAACGTTGCGTAAGGCTGGTCCCTCCAATTGTCGTGCGGACAGACCGGTCATGAAGATGCACGTCGTCGAGCGGCGTCCAAGCGGGCTACGCTCACCAGGCCCTCCTGCCAGAGACTCGGATGACGAGTCGGATCCTGAGAGTTACGGTGCTCAATACACCGACGACGACGAGGACTACGATCACTATCATCCTAGATCCGACGAAGAGACTTCGACTAGTCATCGCATGCAGTCTCCACCACCTGAATCGGTAGACAGTGAGGAAGACCACCTTGCGGACGAAGAACCTTCGGAGTGGACTGACGAAGATTTCGACACTGCACGCCATCAACGTGAGGTTGCTTTGGAATATTACGAGAAGCGCAAGACAGTCGGCGCGGAAGTAGCGAGTGCGATGCGGGCGCACGACCATGGTGATGGCGATTGGGACCAACCGGTTCGTGTTCATTAAATGCATAAATTACGTTCAAGTAATATTTTATGCTTGTTAGGAAGTACCGTTGGAGGCAACGCTAGCATCAGACCCACCAAAGCCCTCCCTTTCGCGGTTCAGTATTGAACGCCACATTCACCCTCCTCCTAACACAGGCATGCTGGCCTCACATTCGCTAGGTGCTGCGGTGCTGCCTCTGGCCAGCGCTGCATCGCTTCAGCGTGCTGTTCGTCTAGGCAAATTTGAGGACGGTAAACTGGTGGGTGGAGCGGAGGGCGAGAGTGAGGACGAGGGCACGGCAGTGGATGAAAGCGCCCAGCAGCTCTTGGAGGCGATCCTTAGAGGCGAGGTAACAAACGTCGGACCGCAGTCTTCCTCAGCTTCGACTCGGATCGTACCAACCAACACTGCTGAAACAACACAACCATCCGTACCCGCTCAGGAGCCCTCAACACTTACAGCCCGACCAAATGCGTCTAAAGTATCGAAGTTCAAGCTTGCTCTGCAGCAACCGCATACGATGACTGGCCAGATATCACCCGGGTTGAGCTCTACTACAGCGACCCCAACGAATGGCTTGGAGCGCTCGTCGCCTAAGCCGTACGCAAAGAACGACAGCCACTCCGACCCAACACAGGGCACGTCGTCATTACATCCCTTGCCCAAATTGAGCTCTACTCGTTCTATCTCCAGTGACTCTCTTCCGTCAGCCGGCAACGCATCGCGCCAGATGCCTAGTATGATTGTCGAGTCACCCTCGTTTAGGCCTCCGCGAGTGCCAAATACATCAGGGTCTTCGTCTAGCCCGGGTCAGCCACGGTCACTCGGATTCCAGAGTGTTGTACTCGAGGTGCCATCTTTCCAACCGCCCAGCGTATCGTCTTCTCCATTGTCCTCCTCGTCTACTGCAGTAGCAACTCCCGTGTCTGCGGCTCCTTCGCCATCCATCGCCACTCCCTCGCTGCTCACTCCTAAGGTCCCCACCCCCGTCCGAGCCGGCGTGGTTGAAAGGAAGCCGCCGAGCTTCGTGGATACCGTTGTCCGCGAGACAACCGCCTCCATACCGGGCCCAGTTATCGACGGACCCGAACGGAAACCCAAGGTCTCGCGGTTCAAGGCTCAGAGGTCGTGACGGATCCATACTATACACCATTCAACGACCCATGTATTGTTCCAATCCGCACAAAGATGACCAGCAGAACTGTCTTTTGAGTGCGTGTGATCTACACATTCCGCTGTTTGCGTCGCCTCTTGCGGTACCAACAAAGGACAGTTTGCCTCTACTCATATGATGCTTTTGATTGTGACGTACGGCTGAGGTTTCCTTGCTATATTAACAAAGGTACCCCCTGGTATTGTCACAATCCGGTGGCTCATCAAGTGGCTCAGCTCTTCCTGACGTATAAATTGACATACATGCAGTGATACAACCACACAGATCCCCCCCCCCGTTTCGTGACCCTTGATTCATGAAGGCAGAGAAAGAGAACAAGCCGGCCGCAGCAGCGTCGACATCAAGCAAGCAGGTTCAAGGCAAGAGGGTGTCGGATGTGCAAGCGAGCCCACTCAAGAAACTGCGAGAGGATGAGACCGCAACGCTCATTACGTTAGGGGTCAAGATTTTACTTGAGGTATGTACTCCTTATATACCACGACTGGGTAACAATGTTTCATCATTCCTGTTAGGTTTTTCTATGTCTCGAGCCGAAGGATCTTATAAACGTATCCTACACCTGTGCAGCTCTCTGTCGTACCTTGCTCAGTGTCGAGCATCGATTCGTGTGGGAACGAGCTCTAGAGAAAGCTGTACCTTCAGCACCAGATTGTCCACGAGGCATAAGTTTGCCCGCATACTGCGAGCTTCTCTTCGTTGAGAGATGTCATGTAAGCCCATCACTGGCTGTGGGGAATCCTACGTTGACCTGGCGTGCATAGTTCTGCAGGAAGAGCAGGGTACACACGATTGCAGGTGAATGTTTGCTTCGCGCATGCAAAGAGTGCCGTGAAAATGAGTAAGCGTGCCCCTATCTGACTCGAGAACTGCGTTAAGCTGACTTCGTCAACAGACAGAACTTCGCCAAGGTGAATGAGTCATATATGCCCTTGCCATTTCCTCCGGGTGTATTGGTGAAAGACATAGCACCGATTTACAGACTGAGCAAAGGTGCGTGCGTTGTATACATTGAATCGGCAAAAGCTCATCCGCATGGAGACCGCAACCCTGTGCTCTACGTCCCACGCATCAGGTGGGCGGCAATATGCGAAAGGATGGATGTGCTCTCCATACAAGAAGATCGTTTACAGCAGACAGGTGAAGATTATGGTCAAGATGTCGAGGAGAAACGCAAACTCCTGGTCACGGAGTTATCAGAATTCAAGAGACTGCGCAAGGCAGTAAGTACAAAGTACAAACAAGCCCTTCAACATTCGTATCCACTCACTATTGATACGCAGTTTGCACGTGAGCTCGAAGGATGGTCGCGTGAACATAAGCGATTAGAGAAAGACCACCTCCAAAGTCGACGTCTCGTTCAGTACGTTGATGCCTACCAAGTCTGGTCGCGCTTTGCTCACACTACAACAGGATCTTAGAACGAATCGCCGAAACGAGCGGTGATCTTTCGGCAGAAGTGCACCTCTTAGACGATAGTGCTCGCCGCAAGTTCCAGCGACTCGCACAGACCAAAAAATCAAGACTTCTGGTCGACAAAGGCCGGTCATCCCCGCTGGCCCATGTGCACGTTCTTGTCGCTGACGAATAGTCACAGAGTGGGCCATAATTCACGGACCTGTTGTTCAGCACCTCCAAGACACTCGTGCGACGAGGCTCAGCAAACAACGGGCGGAGCCTCACATCCAAACGATACGCCACATCGTACTTCATCTTGACGCACTCGCGAGTTTCCATGCCGACCGTTTCGTGGCGGCGCGACCGACCATTGCCGATCTGTGTTTGCACCCTGGAGTAAAATCTGCCGTCATCGCTCCTATACTCGAAGCCGCCCAGGCCCACCACGATCCCCTGCCAGATATTGGACACGGTATGGGAGGGGTCATAGAACTGGCAATCAAGGGCTTCGTCAATGATGCTCAGTCAGTGTTACGCAAGATCGCAGCGAAGGGGATCTGTTCTGTTCTCCGAGACATCGAGGAGGAAGAGCTAGGCGAGCACGTAGGCCTAGAGGAACTGCCTCACGTGTGGTTTGCATGCAAGAACTGTGGGTGCGATACCATGACCGCATCGCAGACCTATCAGCATCGATGCCTCCGATTGAATCACAAAACCCGCCTTGAGCCACAGAGCAGCGATGACGACCTGGTGAACGCACTGGGCGAGGTGTCAAATAATTCAGAAGACACAGTGGTTGCTATGAAAAAGCACATTACTTTCAATTCAGAAGTCTTCGAGAAAGCTCGCCGTCTGTTAAGTGTTGCCCCGCTTCAGGTCCCCCTTAACCTCAGTGTGGACTATCCCGATGGTCGAGGGGTCGAGTACCGCGCGGCCTGCCGTAACTGTGAGTATATCATGACCTGGAGACGAGCAGTGAGTTCACTCTCCTACAAAATCCGAATAACTACTCATCGTTTGTCACCGCTGATAGCTCGTTCACCGTTGCGAGCTCGGATATGATGGAGAGTTGGGCTATGAAGATCGCAGTAGTATGCCAGCGATGGAACTTGTCTCTTCTCAGGTCGCGGCGAACACGAAAATCCTAGAAGGACAGCAACCACGGGACTGGCGCACCGCGCCTACACTTTTCTGCGTTTATTGCGCTCATTGGGACCCCGCGGACCATGAAGCCTACACAAGCATCTATTACCTAGAGCAGCATCTAGCAGACACGTGAGTTGTCTCATTTCATATGCTATACCATACCACCGATTTACGCCTAAACACGGTCCAGCCACGGCATCAAGCGCAAGTCGCAGAAGTACAATGACTATGTAGCTGCTCGAGGCGAAGCATATTGGGACGCTTTCCAAGACGAGCCAGGTTATGTTTCTTTTGCTGACTTCCAAGCCGCGCTCACGAAACACCCACTCGATGAAGCGCATAAAGTATTGCAGCCCAACATGACGTCTCGGAAAGCTTAAGTTCAGTCACCCATGCACGTGATCGGCGAAGATGACGATCACCTTGCTTGCAAGGAAATCCAATACGCCGCCCGCGAGAAAGGTCTTGGACGTCTCAGACGTTCCGTCTCTAGTGGAGAAGTAGTCTAGTATTAAACAAGTAACAAGTACTATGGCCAGAACTTGTGGATTGTGAATTTCAGCTACAAGACTACATCGTCTGATTCCTAGAGTTAGTCCTAGTCGTGGTGCTCGACTCCTGGACGTCCCATAGGCACATACTCAAGGAGCAAAAACAACTTGGCCAACGCCAGGATTGAACTGACGACCTTCGCATTATTAGTACGACGCTCTAACCAACTGAGCTAGTCGGCCTTACCTAGTGAAATATTGTCATGGTACATGATCGATCTGTGTAACAGCTACGGATTCTTGCGAATTGACTACATGTACTTGAGGACTACGATGCCCTCACGTCGCCTTGCGTCCCCTTCCCATCCATACTCATCTTTCCAAGCAACCCTAAATCCAAGGTTCTTCAATAGACCGTCCACTCCAGGTTCATGCAGCAGTGCTCCGAACACGACGATATATTCAGGCCATTCATGTTGCCAGTCGTGAGTGATATCGCGTGTGGCTTCGCCAGGTTTGCTGTAAGGTTTCGGTGAGGGAGGGAACTGCGGGTTAACAGCGGCGGGGAAACGATCTTGCAAATATCTTATGGGAGAGTCATAGAATACATCGGTCTGGTCTTTATAATCCCGGATCGTCTCGCCACTGCACGTGATGTCAGTAGGTAATATTCCGCTGAAGGAATAGTGGGCCTTACCCTAATGGTGGCTCACAGCCGAGCGCCCAGAACCTGTGGCCGTCAGACCAAGATGGTTTGTGGAAGTACGCGTGCCACGGCGTCGAGTGACAGGGCATCAGGAAACCTGCAGAGCGCACCTCGCCCTCACTCAAAGACCTGAAATAATGCGTGATATCGACTTGCGCGCGTGAATGGCATGTCGCGAGGTACACAAGAGCGGGTATATTGAGGAATAGCAGGACGAGGTGAGGAGCTCGTATGGGGAATGTCGGCAACTTCTTGCTGTCTCCCTTTTGAGCATGGTAGGACGCAGATCCTTGGTAAAGGTCTACCAGGGATTTCGAGGCGAAGATGTGTAGAAGAGGCAGTAAAGGGTGTATAAATCTCCATTCTTTATGTCCTGCGAGCGAGTATATGCCGATGGTCCATACTATTAGGCCGAGTAGCCACTTCAACGTTGACGTGCCCTGTGCGCTGGCCGAAATCCACATTCCATGCAACGCGAATGGAAGAGCTGCGGTACAAAGGATAGGGAGGCCTTGTGTAAGGTAGTAGTGCCATGGACTCGCCCCGTAGAAAAGCGAGACGGAGGATAGGTTGGTAAGGACGAAGTTGAGAGGAGTAAGAGTGAATTTCCCGTAGTACAAGGAGTCAATCCCCGATAACGTTGAGATAGAAAAGAGCCTGCAATAGTTCTATTAGACTATTTTGCCAGTTGGCGCTATTTTAGAAGAGACGTACCCTATCACACACAAATCCACGGCAGAATAGAACAGAAGTTGCGTGTTTGAACGAAGTCTCCACAAGTACGCAGTCACCACGTAACTCCATATAACTGCATTCGTGGGTCGAATTGCACATGCAATTGCCGCAACCCACAAGGAGCTTCGGAACGCTTTCCTAGCCAGAGATGAGCATGTAGACGAGACTGTGAAGGATGACAGCTTGCCTTGAAGCATTGCTCCATGGAAATACACTGAGCGCAAGTGTAGTGAGAGATGTCTCCAGCGAGTTTGACATCGAGCGGGTGAGTGAGAGACCGTTGAACAGGGATGTTAGAGATAGAAAGAGCTACGAGGAAGGTGAGCTTTGCTACGGAAGGTGAAGGGACCAGACATACCGCCACGTTGGCGTAGCTCCTGCCCAGCAGCTTCTCTGTTAGAGCACACACGCAAATGTCGGTGAGCGAAGCCAGAGCCCCGTGTAAAACCTTAGGTCCCCAAATCTACACGCGTCGCGTCAGCCCGCTCGCGTCTCTCAGAACCGCAATCAGCACTCACCCACCAGCAGTTTCGTATCATCCAATTCCAACCATTTCAGCGCGTAGTATATTGGCACGTTCAGACCAGGATATAGGATGCTTCTGATAGGCTTGTCCGAGAGCCATTCCCAGGTGAGATGTCCGTAACCGAAGACAAGATGATGGGCGACCTCGAGGGATTGAAAATATTCGTCCGGCTGAAAAAAGGTTTGGGTGACGAGTGCAATGCATATGCGCACAGATACTACAGTCAAGAGTGTGCGTAAGTTCATGGTTCAGAGCTAGCCTCGGGCGCTTGACCGCCGCCATCGTCTTCGTGGCGCTTTCCAAGCGCCCTTGATTTCACCCGACGTGCCAAAATATTGTCGCGACCGTGATGTATGTCAGTATCTTGAATCACATTCTCCTCACTCCAATCAAAAAGTGAAACCAAAACAGTATTGCTCATTCTGGCGTGAAAAATGAGACCTCATCACTAATCATCTTTCATTGGAGGACGGCTCTTCTCTCCGGGCATCAATGCGACATCACTTGCGGCCGAATTACTGTATCACAATGTACGTATGTTACAGGATAACGACAGTGACGGATCAGTAGTGATAGTGTCCGCTGGATCGTCTTAGCAGAGAGCGATTTCATCGAGTCAGAAGAACATTGAACTACCACCCCTCTGCCACAAGGGCTGGAGTGGAAACCTTGAAGCCCAAGTTTTTGTAGCACAGTGTGTCCGGAAGCTCGTCATCGCACGTCGGCTCTCCGAGAAAGAAGTAGTAGTCAACGTGAAGTTTCGGTCTGAGCTTCACGATGTTGTGTCTAGTAAACGTCCAAACATTAGCGTCCAGAATATCGTAGAGTTGATAGGAAACTTGCGAGTGCGAGAGATGCTCCTTGAGTCCCTTTAAACCTTTGTACCCTGACGACCACCAGCTCCCACCGAAAGTACGGCAAAAGTAGCAATAAAAACGCGCAGTAGTGACTTTCGGCTTGTACCTGTCCTCGGCTTTCTTGACTTGGTGAATGTCTTCCTCGTTCAAGAGCACCCACGCCCCATGGCTACAACGATGCGAACGGTGGGCAGGTTTGACTATATGTGTCACCTATATCGACTTAGTGCGGGGGTAAAGAACATCAAGTGAATCGGCCTCACTGCTTTGCGCCATGTCATCACCTGCTTGCAAGTTACACAAGCTACGCGGGCGTCCAGGCTGTCCATGTCGGAATATAGAGCAGTGGCCGGATCCAACCCACACAGCTCTACGATCTGTGCAGCATGGAAAGACAGGTGGTGGTCGAACGTTATATTGGTGCTTAATTCTTGGGAAGAGAATCTTGAAGATTGCAGGCTCCAGCTCCAACCGACGGCGTTCACAAGGTCGTCGTCCGCGTTCTGAGGTTCAAAAATCGTCTTCACGTTCTCGTGGATATGCTTGTGGCCTATGATCCTGGGGTACGCGATACTTGTATGGTGACATTCATTCATGGGGTGCAGGCCGGAGGAGTCAAAGCACCTGAACCACACCAAGGCGGACTCCAGTGGGTCTGAGGTATCGTCCTGCCTGTTCTGCAACCATGGAGGAAGCAACTTCACAACATGTGCGCGGACCATGTCGGTGTGCGTGCGGCAAACTTCAGGGATGAGTTCTTTGAAGCGCTTTGTGTCGAGCGAGTCCACACCAAGCTGCACAAGCCCTTCGACGATAGGCCGAATTTGTGGCGACATGAAGAAGTCTATGGCGGTAGGATATATGGCCTCTAGTGGGTTCGCACGAACGAACGAGTTGAGATGAGGGAGGAGCGCGTCGAGCGCCTCTTTGTATGGTTTAAGGCGTTCTTCGCGGATACGGCTGTTGCGGCAATTCCGAACCCATACAATAATATGTTGCCCGACCTTATCCCAGCCTAAATAGTACGTTGAGATTTGGTGAATCCTCGGGTGTAGCCCACGTACCGCGTTGTGTGAATGGCGTAGGCTCCTTCATGCCCTCCATACGATTTAGATGCTCCCGGTCATAACCTCTCAAGAGGTTCCTCTCCTGGCCCAGCCCAAGTTCAGTCAACTTTTCCCAGACACTGTGTCGCCAAGTTAATACTTCGAACGAACGAAATCGAGGAGCGTTATGCTTACGCGTCCCGGCGCTGCTCGCGCATCTCGTCCAACTGCCGCTCCCTATCACGTCCTCGCTTCTCATCCCATTCTTTGCATCTTGCTATCTGAATTACCATCTCAGCGAAAATAATGACAATAACGAGCTAGATAGCTCACATCAGTGCGGCGATCTCGTTTATGCAGGCGGCCCTCTACGAGGTCCTCGACGGCACGTTCAATCGCGTTCTCGTCCAAGGCATGTCTTCGATCAATGTCTTCAAGCTTTTCATTCAAGTCCATGATGTCATCTACCCTGAGGAAGGTGTCTGCTGTGCGTGAGAAGATATAACTATACTCTCACAGTCGCACACGATACCTTTGCCTTTGACCATACTCGGTAGGATTTCCAGCATATACTCGTGATCCACGACATGGCCTACCTCCCGAAGCTTGAAGAATATGGTCCTACGGAAAGCTCAATACAACGTCTACGACTATAAAGAGTAGAGACTTACCGGTCTTCGCGACAAGACTTGCAAAACCGGGCGCAGAACTGCCACTCAATCGCGTTGCACCCCGTTTTGCCACATATCTAGAGAAAGAGGTTCGATGTATGCGAGCTTCGTCGTGAGGTGTGGCGACATACGTGACAATGATTGCTAAACATCAAGCTCGCGAAACCCATTTCGGTCATGCCTGCCGGACATTCTGGGAGACCTGGTACGTTTCGTAGGGCCGCTTTCCATATCGTCACGGAGGACTGCCGTATCATTAGCCGGTAGAATAGTTTCGTAGTCCTGGCCACATTCAGGAGGTCCCCGGGGTGCAGGTGGCTGAGTATCTGTAGACCGCAAAAAAAAAGTTAACAATGCGCATGTATGCAGAAGACGTGGCACACACCTCAAAGATGACATCGAGGGGCATGTCCGTGAGCCTGCTGAGACTCAGCCTTCTGCCTCTCTTCCGAATAACAGGTTTTGTGGCAGGTATCGGCCTTGCGCGTTTCCTCGCAGGGCCACCAGAAGTCGATGTCGACGCATCGTTCAGAGCGCCAGCATGCTGCACTGGCTCGGGGGGCATCACCATTGGCGTTGTAACTAGACGGTGGCGAGAGGAAGGAGGTGGGAGCGAAGGAACGGAAACAAATTGGAAAGGGTGGCTCAGGTCCGCGACCAAGCTACAAGTTACTGGGCGTTATGCAAATAAGTAGATCAAAC